GCAATAGACACCTACAGGCGAGCTATTGAACTGCAACCACATTTTCCTGATGCTTACTGCAACCTAGCCAATGCTCTCAAAGAGAAGGGCAGTGTAAGGATTTTTACTCAGTCTATTTCTTTGTTACATGGTAGGATTGAAGATATCTATTTTGTACGCATTGTTATTAAGTACTGAGATGGTAAATTGTTTTACTTTGGATTTTGGTTGAGGAAAACCCACTTCTAATAAATTTCAACTCATGGTGACCCTGTATGGGGTTTTCGAGGCTGTAACAAAGCCGCCTCTTTCTCCCATGGAGCAGCAGGTGGATTCAAAATGCTGGTCTTGTGGTTAGCAGCCCAACACCACCAGGACTCTTTTGATTGAGGGAAAAAATTTTAAAAATCCCATTTTTCTGGAATATTAAAACTCCAGAACTGTTAGAAAATACGGTTATTTTTAGAATAAAAATAGTTATAATTTTCAGAAAAATGTATCAGTGGTGGCTCTTGGTGGCTCTGTGATTCTTCTGTATAGTTTTTGAATAGTTTGTTTTATTTTTTAGGTTGCGGAAGCCGAAGATTGTTATAATACAGCTCTCCGTCTATGTCCCACCCATGCAGACTCTCTGAATAACCTAGCTAATATCAAGAGAGAACAGGGAAACATTGAAGAGGCAGTTCGCTTGTATCGTAAAGCATTAGAAGTATGTCCAGAATGGGCTGCTGCTCATTCAAATTTAGCAAGTGTACTGCAGCAGCAGGGGAAACTGCAGGAAGCTCTGATGCATTATAAGGAAGCTATTCGGTAAGAAGACTCGCAGCCTTTATATTTCTTTTAAATAATTTCTTAATTTTAAAATGCTTAGCACTTTTGCCATGTGCTAAAATGTTTTAAAACAATAATATAACATTTCAGGGAATTAAGGGCTTTATACTAGGTAAATAAAACTTTTGTTCCCTTTATTTAGAATCAGTCCTACCTTTGCTGATGCATACTCTAATATGGGAAATACTCTAAAGGAGATGCAGGATGTTCAGGGAGCTTTGCAGTGTTATACTCGTGCCATTCAGATTAACCCCGCGTTTGCAGATGCCCATAGCAATCTGGCTTCCATTCACAAGGTACTGCTGTTCATTATAATATGTATTCTTGTACCTAGTGTTTAATTTTAGGAAACTTTATTACCCCTTTTTTGTTTCAGGATTCAGGGAATATTCCAGAAGCAATAGCTTCTTACCGCACTGCTCTGAAACTTAAACCCGATTTTCCTGATGCTTATTGTAACTTGGCTCATTGCCTGCAGGTAAGGAAAGTAGGAGCCCTTTAGTGCTATGATCACTTTTAAATTGTTCTGTGCCTTAATAGGTTATCTGACATTACATTAGGCTAAAGACACATAAAATGTTAAATCCTGGGATAGGGTTTTCTGGATATGACTTCTTTTTGTTTTCTTTAGATTGTCTGTGATTGGACAGAGTACGATGAGCGAATGAAGAAGTTGGTCAGCATTGTGGCTGACCAATTAGAGAAAAATAGGTTGCCTTCTGTGCATCCTCATCATAGTATGCTATATCCTCTTTCTCATGGCTTCAGAAAGGCTATTGCTGAGAGGCATGGGAACCTCTGCTTGGATAAGGTGAGATTTCTTTTATTTTAATTTTTTCTGTTGTAAAATAAAAATACAATACAGAAAAATGTCCTAATCAAATGTATGTCTTAATGAATTACAAAGTTAACACCTCCATTTGATAAACTTTATATGTGGTCAATCATAACGCCTTACGGTTGCATTCTGAACTTAAAAATAATGTACTGATGGTATTTCCTTCAAGTTGAAATCCATAGTGTTTGAAAAAATGGTATTTTATATTCTTTGAGAATTTGAGTACTACTAAAGGTTGGAATTTGCTTGGAAGAATAGATTGGCGTGCTAGGTGTAATTAAAAACAAAACAAAACAAAACAACTTTTATTGTGATTTTTGTTTTTAAAGTTATTTCCCTACAGAGTTTTCTAAAATGCAGGGTTTGTCAAGCTCTGTCTGTCCACCGTGTTGTATTCCTACAAGTTTTAGATTTGCTTGGTATATATCATAGGCTTTAGAAGTAGGTGAAAGTATGAGTCATTATATATTATGTAAACTGTTAAAAGTTGTAATCAACTATATGAATTATTTGAAGTGTTGTGGTCAGTCTGTTTCTAATAGGTATTAGGTGTATATTTGATGTATTTTTAAGTCAATGTTCCTAGATGAAAATTTATGTATAGGCTCAACTCTGCTGATAAACATTGGATTCTGTTGGTAGATCAATGTCCTTCATAAGCCACCATATGAACATCCAAAAGACTTGAAGCTCAGTGATGGTCGCCTTCGTGTAGGATATGTGAGTTCTGACTTT